GAGAACCACCGATCAGCTGCCTCCTGCACACCTCCTACTGGGGATGTGCCTGCAACCAAGGTACATGCCCTTGACCGGAATCGAACCTGGGACCCTTCAGTCTGCAGGCCGACGCTCTATCCACTGAGCCAAACCAGTTAGGGCGAGTTCTTTTTTTAAAAATATATTTTATTGATTTTTTACAGAGAGGAAGGGAGAGAGATAGAGAGTTAGAAACATCGATGAGAGAGAAACATTGATCAGCTGCCTCCTGCACACCTCCTACTGGGGATGTGCCTGCAACCAAGGTACATGCCCTTGACCGGAATCGAACCTGGGACCCTTCAGTTCGCAGGCCGACGCTCTATCCACTGAGCCAAACCGGTTACGGCTTGAGTTCTTTTTAAAAACTGAATTCTTTCCCTGACCAGTTTTTTACTGGATTTATGAGGTAAAAATACCCATACAATTATGTTAGTATCCTGCATAAGAATTCCTGTTGGAGAATATGTGGTATGAATAATTACAACCTTAAGATTTTGTAATGATTGAATACGATCTATCTGTCCTGCTTGAATTTGTTGCTCAATTAATTGTAATTCGGCTTCTGCCTCAGGAGTCAATTGCCTAGGACTATTGAGATCTGAAGACCCTTCTAATGTCCGGAATAGATTAGTTAACTGATAGGTAGGGATGCCAATAGATGGTCGAAGCCAATTTATATCCCCCAACAGTTTCTGAAAATCATTCAAGGTGTTAAGACTATCCCATCTAATCTGAACTTTTGGAGGTTGAATAATGCTTGCTGAAATTTTCTGTCCTAGATATAACCAGGGCTCTGTTTGCTGAATTTTTTCCTCTGCTATTTGGAGTCCATACTCTAAATAACTTTCTAGCCTCCTGTAACAAATGCCTGTAAAGGTTGGTGAACATAAGCTTGACACATAGTAGGACTATTTAACATACCCTGGGGGAGGACTCGCTATTGATATCTCTGATTAGGTTGGCTGTTATTTAATGAAGGGACCGTAAAAGCAAATTTGTCACAATCCTGAGGTTGTAAAGGGATTGTATAAAAACAGTCTTTTAAATCAATAATTATCAGATGCCAATTTTTTTAAAATACATTTTATTGATTTTTTACAGAGAGGAAGGGAGAGGGATAGAGAGCCAGAAACATTGATGAGAGAGAAACATGGATCAGCTGCCTCCTTCACACCCCCCACTGGGGATGTGCCCACAACCAAGGCACATGCCCTTGACCGGAATCGAACCTGGGACCCTTGAGTCCACAGGCCGACGCTCTACCCACTGAGCCAAACCGGTTACGGCCAGATGCCAATTTTTAGGAATTAATGCTGGATTTGTAATTCCAGGTTGTAAAGGTCCCATAGGCTCAATAATCTCATTAATCTGTCTTAAATCAGTAAGCATTCTCCATTTACCTGATTTTTTTTTTATATATATAACAAAGACAGGGGAATTTCATGGACTAGAGCTAGTTTCTATATGCCCTAATTGTATCTGTTCTTTAATAATGATTTGAAGTGCTTCTAACTTCTCTCTTGTTAGGGGCCACTGCTCTACCCATACTGGTTTAGTTGTTTTCCATTTTAATGGTAGGGCAAAGCTCTTTGTAGTGGCCCCCTTTATAAATTTTGATCCTGAACATTGGTGCCAGCACCAGCTTGAAAAATCATTTGTCTATGGCCTTTCTGTAAAGAAGGTATAGTAATTGTAGCCCCCATTGTTGTAAAAGATCTCTTCCCCACAAAGATAGTGCAATGGAGGCGACATATGGCTGTATTTGGCCCTTTTGTCCTTCAGGCCCCTGACGTTCAAGTACATTAGAGCTTTGTAAAATCTCAGTGAGGGTCCCTAAACCTGTAAAGGTTGCATTTACCTTGTGTACCGGCCAAGATTGAGGCCAGTGCAAAATAGAAATTATAGTCACATCAGCCCCAGAATCCACCAGGCTGATAATTTTTATTCCCTCCAGGAACATTACTGTAAGTTGAGGTCTTTGGTCTCCTAAAACTGTATGCCAAAAAACCTTTTTTCCCGTGCTACCAAATCCCCCAGTTCACTTAACTGGTGCTGTATGCCCTATTTGTTTATAGGGAAGTAATAATAACTGTGCCATTTTTTCTCCAGCCTTTATATGTACAATATCAGAAGCAGACATCATAACTAATATTTCTCCTTCGTAATCTGCATTAATAACTCCGGGATGAACTTGTAAACCTTTAGTCGTTAGACTACTTCTTCCCAGTAGCAATTCTACTGTTTCCTTAGGTAAAGGTCCATAAACCCCGGTGGGTATTTCTGTACCCCATCTCCAGGAGAAATAGTAAAATCATTAAGAGCTGGAATGTCTACTGCGGCACTTTGAGCGGTAGCATGAAATAAGTCAGAGACCTTCATTTTATTTTTCCCTTCTTTCTGCTCGTATTGTTTTTCTCCAGGCCCCGAGCTGAGCCCGGAGTCTAGTTTCCCGACTGCACGGGTGTTAATGGGTTGCCGTCTTTATCTTTAACAGACAGGCATTCATTAGCCTAATGTTGTCCCCTTTTACATCTAGGGCATAATCCGGGAGCACTTTTGGCTTTCCCTTGTGAGACTTTTGCCTCCCCACAATCCTTTTTTATATGTCCCATTCTCCCACATCCATAGCATTTAACAGGACGGGGAATGGCAGTTTTTAATGCTTAAAATGATTGGACCGGGGTGCTGGCCTCCTCCATTTTTGACCAAGCCTTTAAGCAACAAGCTTTAATCTGTGCAATAACAGCATCCTCTAACAGCACCTGTTGCTGTAAGCTAATATGTGCCCCAGTTCCTGTTAACTGGTCAAAATTAGGTCCAGGAGGATTTTGTTGGGCGTTAATCAACACCACTCTCCTGGCTTCTTCCCACCACCAGGATTTAAATTGCAGATATTTCCCTGGGGCTAATACTGCCTTAGCTATAGCATCCCAATCATATGGAATTAATTTATAATTTGAAGCCAGAGCTTATATTATTCCTACTGTATATGGGGCATTAGCCCCATAATTAGCAACTGACTCTTTTTTAACAGTTTATCACTCTTAACTCTACATGTTGATGAGTTAACTCTACGTACCCTTGAGGGTTTTGAGCTTGAGCAGCTCTTTGTGTCCTCAGGAGGGGGTGGAGGCTCAGCCACTAACGCCTGATTAAAGGCTAGTGCCCTTTTACTTTCACTTTTTGGCGGCGGTGCAGCCAACTCCTGAGGACTTTTATTCTTGTTCTTTTCCTTAACTTAAGGCGAGTGTAAAAATCACCATCTGTCTCCATTGTTATTTGCTGTACTTGGGGAGTACAGCAAATAACAATGGAGTACAGCAAGTGACAATGGTAAACAGGCATGCCTATGAGATCATCTGAGCTAAGTTATACATTAAACTATTGATTTCCTATGTTATACAAAGACCCTTTCCACCTGCAGCAGTGTACCCTCCCTGGCTTTCCATGCCCTCTTGGACTATTTATCACCTCAAGGAAATTCTGCCTCTGAACAATAAATCTTGGGTGCAAGACTTTGTTCTGATGTGGCCCGCTTGCAGGCCCCCGCCTTTTCTTGGCAGAACGTCCTCTTCTAGTTAACTTCATTCCACTTGACCAGCTACACTTAACAAACCAGTTCAGATGCCCCGCCTCCTGGGAGCCAGGCCCCAGGTGATCCCACCCCCACCTCGCAGGTTCTCAGAATCCCCCCTGGGAGTCCCCAAAATGCCCATCGCGGGGGATGTTTGCAATAGTATGAATCCAAGACTAGTCTCTTCCATTGTTTTCATTGTCCCTCCTTGTACTTTACTTGAATGTCTTTATAGCAACTCTGATGGAACTCTGGCTTCGGGGATGACAAGGGTCCCTTTTATTTGTTTTATTTTTGGTTGGATTTTGTTTGATTTTGTTGGTGTGTTGTTTTTTTAATGTACTTTTATTGATTTCAGAGAGGAAGGGAGAGGGAGATAGAGAGAAACATCAATGATGACAGAGAACCATGGATCAGCTTCCTCCTCCACGCCCCACACGGGGGATGGAGCCCCCAACCTGGGCATGTGCCCTGACCGGGAATGGAACCGTGATCTCCTGGTTCCTAGGTCGGCCCTCAACCAGTGAGCCACACCAGATGGGCAATCTATTTGTTTTTGTTTCTACTGGAGCCCCTTCCATTTGTTTTCACCTATAGTAGGAGCATCATAAACATCTGTTGAGTGAGTGATATTGTGTACCTTAATATGTCCTCAGATATGGTTACTCCTTCCAGTAATTTTCTTAAAGGACTGAGTCCAAAAGAAATCCAACAGGCCTGGCTAGAGTGGCTCAGTGGTTGAATGTGGACTGTTGAACCAAGAGGTCTGGGTTCAATTCCTGGTCAGGGCACATGCCCAGGTTGGGGGCTCCATCCCTTCCTGAAGGAGGAAGCTGATTCATGGTTCTCTCTCATCATTGATATTTCTCTCTCCCTCTCACTTCCTCTCTGAAGCCAATAAAAATACATTTAAAAAACAACAAACGAAAAAAACAGGCTGAATCTGAGAGTATTGTGTGTGTGTGTGTGTGTGTGTGTGTGTGTATGTATGAGAGAGAGAGAGAGAATTTGCATCAAATACTTTGATCACAAGTCATTGTATATTATAACTAGAGGCCTGGTGCACAACATTTGTGCCCTGGGGGGGCGGTAGGGGGCCTTGAGCCTGGCCTGCGTCCTCTCTCAGCCCAGGACCCCTCACTCCTTACCGCCCGCCTGCAGTGGAGGCGGGAGAGGCTCCCGCCACCGCCACTGTGTTCGCCAGCTGTGAGCCTGGCTTCTGGCTGAGCAGCACTCCCCCTGTGGGAGTGTACTGACCACCAGGGGGCAGTTCCTGCGTTGAGCATCTGCCCCCTGATGGTCAGTGAGCATCATAGTGACTGGTTGTTCCACCCTTTGGTTGATTTGCATATTAGCCTTTTATTATATAGGATTATTTGTCTTTATTTCTGCAGCTAATTAGGGAAAAAATAAATGGCATTGAAGGCACGAAACTAGATGACCACTTTCTTGACCTGGAAAAGGTAAGAGCATTTTAATGTCAATTGTGTGAAGAATGTGTCTCATCACATTATCTCACTCCTATGTGGAGTCTAAGTAACAAAATAAACTGATGATCAGAGTGGATGCAGAGACATGGAAGCATGGAACAGAGTGTGGAACCTCGGAGGCAGGGCAGGGGAGGGTGGGTGGTGGGAGGTAATCAACCAAGGATCTTGTGTGCGTCTTTGCATGGCCCAGGGACACAGACAATGGGGTGGGGAGGGCCAGGGGCGGGGGGCAGTGGCGAGCTGGAGGAGGGCAATGGGGGAAAAAGTGACATATTTTAATATTTTCACAATTAATAATTCTTTTTAAAAAAGATAGATAATCGGGGGGGAAACTTTTTTAAAAAGAAACAAATTTGACTGTAGTTGTGAGATAGACACACCAATACTGTGAAGAGAGTGGAGTCTAGGATGCTCACGCACAGGAGTGGATGACAACTCTTGATTATGAAGGAGCCTGGATACGGCTTGCTGGTTTCCTCTAGTGGACAAAACTCAGAATGCTCGAAAGATGGGATATATATATATATATATACACACACACACACACACACACATACTTTGGCAGTATATATATATTATATTGTAAAATATATATATATATATATATATATATATATATATTTTTTTTTACAATATATATATACACACATACACACACATATATATATACTAGAGGCCCGGTGCACGAAAATTTGTGCACTCGGGTGGGGGTCCCTCAGCCCGGCCTGTGCCCTCTTGCAGTCTGGGACCCCTCAGGGGATAACCACCTGCTGGCTTAGGCCTGCTCCCCGGGGGATTGGGCCTAAGCTGGCAGTCAGACATCCCTCTGGCAGCCCGACAGCCCTGGGGGGATGCCCACTTGCCAGCAGGGAGCAGGCCTAAGCTGCAGTCGGACATCGTTAGCACTGCTGAGGAGGCGGGAAAGGCTCCCACCACCACCGCTGTACTGGCAGCCATCAGCCTAGCTTATGACTGAGCAGAGCTCCCCCTGTGGGAGCGCACTGACCACCAGAGGGCAGCTCCTGCATTGAGCGTCTGCCCCCTGGTGGTCAGTGTGTGTCATAGCGACCAGTCATTCCCAGTGGTTCTGCTGTTAGTGGTTCAATGTGCATATTACCCTTTTATTATACAGGATAGAGGCCTGGTGCATGGGTGGGGGCCGGCTGGTTTGCCCTGAAGGGTGTCCCGGATCAGGGTGGGGGCCATTTTCAGACTGGCCACACCCACTTCAGGGTGGGGGTCCCCACTGGAGTGTCTGGCAAGCCTGGGTGAGGTGCTGAGGGCCATTTTCAGGCTGGCCATACCCCCTTCAGAGAGGGGGGTCCTACTAAGGTGCCTGACCAGCCTGGGTGAGTAGCTGATGGCTGTTTGCAGGATGGCCAAGCCCCCCAGTGGGGACCCTCTCCCCATGGGGGTGTGGCCAGCCTGGGTAAGGGGCTGATGGCTGTTTGCAGGCTGGCCACAGCCCCTTCAGGGTGGGGGTTCCTGCTGGGGTGCCTGGCCAGCCTGGATGAGGGGCTGATGGCAGGCTGTCCACAGCCCCTTCAGGTTAGGGATTCCCCCAGGATGCCTGGCCAGCCTGGGTGAGGGGCTGATGGCTGTTTTCAGGCTGGCCACAGCCCCTTCAGTGTGGGGGTCCCACTGGGTTCCTGGCCAGCCTGGGTAAGGGCTATGGCTGTTTGCAGGCTGGCACAGCCCCTTCAGGTGGGGGGGTCTGCTG